TTTTCTTGTACGTTCCGAAGTCATATATTACACTTTTCGCCAAACTGATCCTGGCGTAGAGCAGTAGTCTGGTAAATTGAAGGTCGTGAGTTCGAATCTCTCATGACTGGCTTTAAAAACTACGCACTGCTACTGTACGAGCCCAATCAGAGAATCGAACTCCGGACCCGGTTCACAAGGCCAGTGCTCTAACCACTGAGCTAATGAGGCATCTGTCGACCAATTACTTTCTTATCGGTTGTATATTGTTAGCCCAAATATTTTGAACGACGAAGAGGGTTATTGTTAAAAAATGGAAAACAACTACAAGCCAAATATGAAATACGATCGTTGCAGCCTAGTCCCTGTCGGTGTGAAGCAAGCGCGAGAGAAAAGTGGATGTAGTACGAGACTGGGACCTAGGTGTGATGTCACCGCCCAAGGTGCTTCAGAACGCCTAGCATATTTCAGTATTTTTAATATGGCGGAAAATTTATATATACAAGTAACCTTTTAATTATAAATACGACAATGTTCGTTCATCATGTACATGTTCGATGTTGTCTACATAACCAAATCAAACCGTATTAAAAATGTGCTCAACTAAATAAATTTATATACAAATTTACGATAACGAGTTTGAGCAATCGTTGATGATCAACACTAGACCATACTTGAATACACAACTACGCTTTTTACTTGACAGGTTTAAATTGCTGAGGAGATTGGAAATATTTGCCTGACATGACGGTGTTGTCAAAACATTTTTAGTCGGAGACTCGGCATAATTTTCAAGCTTCTAGATAGCATTTAATATGGCTATATATTTTAGTAAACACGAGTCATATTTAGCCTGTTATTCCATTCTGACCGTATGGCAGCGAAACGTAGCCTATTTCATTGTTCCGACAGCATTAGAGCAAAACTAATGACTTAATTATAAATGCATTCCATTTAAACATTTTCCATTTACAAATGAGGTATGCTTGGTAACCAGGCCAGGGACCACTTTTTTGAAATCAGGGACCATTTTACTGAAATCTGCTAGGCTCTCTCGCTGAAGCGTTCCGCACAGCACACCCAGGCATAAAACTTTTAAGACTTTTTTAAATATATCGAAGCAGCGAATAGAGAGAGAGCCTGTGACTAGGCTGGCTATTGCTATAATTAATAATTAGTTTAAATATGCTCTTATAGATCTGACTTAGTTCAATATACTAAATAAACACAAATATAAAATCTCGCGCAACCTGTTTACGCTGTACAGGAATATACGATTCGCTTGTTTCGCCAGACACCAACACTTGCCGTTCAGGAGCAATGCTTGTCTACATATTTTATCCCCTTCACAATCTTTGTTTTATTTTATCGTATAGTCGCAATTTTCAAGTATTCGGAGTATTCTGAAACTGAAAAACTGGGTGGCGTGCGAATCTTGTAGAGACTACATCGACATCGGCCTAGGCGTAGAGCTATTAAGTCAACAGGGCCTAAATTAATTTAGTAGTTTCATTTAATTGTTTGTCTTGCTTTTATTTGTCAGTACAGAATATTGTAAATTAAAATATTACTACAATGCAATACGCATTGTATTTCATCAGACATCTGCACTAATAAATACTGTACAAGGAAAACTACAGCTTAAATATTAATAGTAGACGTTTCTTGTTTTGTCAGGAAACATCACAGCTCACTTCGACACGGCTTTTGAGTTTTGTAACCGGCAGAGGCGAAAGTAAATCATGCAGTCGGGAAAACGTCTTACTTTGAAAGATTATTTTGCAAAATTAAACATACTCGTACACACAAGAATCGTGTAAAACTACAAATGTTGAATTGTTATTGTCAACTGTCAAGTTCAGTTATTTTTAGACAATATGGTGTTAGCCAATCAGAATGCAAAATTGACCGGCCCGGACCAGGGCTTCCTCGTGTCTCGCCTCGTCCTCACACTGAAGCCCTGGGAACGAGGTTGTGCACACCGGGCAAGCTTTAAAGATATGTCTGGCCACGGTGGGGACATTCTCGTCCCCAGAGCCATTTTCACTCGGTCACTCGTTGAAAATTAGGCTCTGGGATAGACGACTAAAGGAAGAGATCTGATTGGCTTCTCAGAGAACTGCTATTTCACAGAAGTTGAGCAGTTTTCGCTGGGAAAATTATTCTATCAACATATGTCAACACAAATACATCGTTTCTTCTTAATACTTCACTGTGAAAATTCATACGGGTGCTAAAGTGTCCCAATTCAAGAGCATGCGCTTTAGAGACTACTGCAAGCTTTCTTGCACTTCCGGTTCCGTGTGTCCCAGGGCCTAGGGAGGACGCACGTGGCCGAGAGGCCCTTGGGACAAGGATGCGGTAAGGATCGAACCTACGAGCTCGTAAATTACGAACTCCATTATCTACCTGGTTTCAAAAATAAGAATTCGAGCCTCATCAGAGATTTGAACTCTGGACCCCTGGTTTACTAGACCAGTGCTCTAACCCCTGAGCTAATGAGGCCTATTCCTTCAGTCAAACTTTTCCAGAAGTTATGAAAATGTGGAATTTTTATGGTATATTTTACAAAATAAAACAAAAAATCATTTGAAAGTCACACAATCTTAACATAAAAGGTTCTCATTACTTTATCGGGGGGTTGTCAATATTCTCACAAAAAGTTTTTTCGCCGACCACCACAGCAACCTAACTAAATTAGACTATATTTGTTGTATTTTTATGATTGATGGTAAAGCCGATAAATATTTGCGTAAACATCATGCGTTTGAACAAATCTTTCACAATCAAAGTATACTCGCAGAAAGTTGTGCCTCATTAGCTCAGGGGTAGAGCAGTAGTCTCGTAAACCGAAGGTCGTTAGTTCGAATCTCTCATGAGGCTCTATCAATTTCTTCAGTATTCATTAGCGATATGAAATTTGAAAATGAATCGGATCTTTGAGATGCTAGCAGAATGATCTGCCAACTGAGCTACGCCCGGTCAGGTCGGTTCGACTATGTGATATTTCAGAACTGAGTCTAGTTCCATCGATACCAATGCAATCTAATAATCATGATTTGCTGTGTTGGTGTTCTGTACTAAGGTGAATATGATGTGGGTGTTGTTATACTCTGAGTGTGTATGCACACCGGGAAAGCTTAAAAAATATGTCTGGCCACGGTGGGGATCGAACCTGCGAGCTCGTAAATTACGAACTCCAATATCTACCTGGTTTCAAAAATAAGAATTCCAGCCTCATCAGAGATTTGAACTCTGGACCCCTGGTTTACTAGACCAGTGCTCTAACCCCTGAGCTAATGAGGCATATTAGTTCAGTCAAACTTTTCCACATGTTATGAAAATGAGGAATTTTTTATGGATATATTTTTGTTTTTATTTTCACGCGCAATCTCGCGAAAATGTCTTGTGGACACATCACAGGGGGGGGGGGGGAATTTATTCGCCGGCCACCACAGCCAACTAACTAAATTACACTATATTTATTTTTTTTTCATGATTGATAGTAAAGACCATAAATATTTGCGTAAATATCATGCGTTTGAAAAAATCTTTCACAATCAAAGTAAAGTTGCAGAATGTAGTGCCTCATTAGCTCAGGGGTAGAGCAGTAGTCCCGTAAACTGAAGGTCGTGAGTTCGAATCTCTCATGAGGCTCTATCAATTTCTTTGTAATCACTAGACCAGTGCTCTAACCCTTGAGCTAATGAGGCATACTCGTTCAGTCAAACTATTCCACATGTTATGAAAATGAGGAATTTTTTATGGATATATTTTTGTTTTTATTTTTACGCGCAATCTTCTCGAAAACATCTTGTGGACACATCAAAGGGGAGGGGCGGGGGTGAATATTTTCACGAAACGTTTGTTCGCCGGCCACCACAGCAAACTAACTAAATTACACTATATTTATTGTCCCCGAGCCGGCGGCGCGAAGCGCCGTGCGAGGGTACTAATTCCCCCCGGCTATTTACACCCGGGGAAACGAAAGCATTAGGGAAGTCTGAAGTTCATCAAATATCGCGGGCGTGGGTCACTGTGCGTGTTTCGGTGGGTGGTCATCCTCACTGATCTCAAAAATATGGCGGACTGTCATGAATAGCGAACACTGATTGGTCAAATTTAAAATTTGTTTGTTGTACGACGAATGACGACTTCAACTGACAGATACTTCATGAAAATATTTTGCTTTTTGCACTGCAATATTTTGTACGTTTGCAAAAAACTTTGACAGCTTTCAAAGCAATTTGTTCTATAAAAAGTTTAATAAAACAATTACGGTATCAAATACCAATTGAAAAGATATCGACTACTGTATGGAGCCAAATGAAGAGCGGCAAGGAAACGACAAGAAAGCCGAACGTCTAGCGAAAAGGAGGGAGCTAGCGAAGACGACAACGTTTGCTCGAGGAGACTGCTGAGGAAAGAGAAGCTCGCCTGGGAAAGCGTAGAGAAGCATGAAAAAAAGACTGCTGAAGCGAAAAGTAAACAAAGGCTTGTCTTCACAACGCTATGTACCAATGATATATACTGTAGCTATACGAGTTGAAGTATGATATTCGACCCTCTATATTCGACTATTTCTTCACAATTTTCCAATAAAGAGTTTGTCATGACACGCTCAAGTCAGTATAACCAGACTGTATTTTATTTATATCAGTTATCACAGCCACAGGCAATTTTATGCTGCCAAATACCGTCGGTTGCAACTAAAGGTGAACAGTTGCAGATAAAACATTCTCTATTCTCATTAAAAGGCCTGTAAAAGTTTCCAGTAAGTCTCTAGCCCAACACGTTCAGACCACACAAAGTTTTGTTACTTATTATTGTCCACTGTACACATGGGAAACAACAATTAAGGTTTGTTGTTCTTGACAAACATTGAAGATTCTAATCACGCGAATGTTTTTATGAGCAACTGTTCATCGTTAGTTGCAAGCGACGGTACAAATATTTTTCCGACTGTGACCGAATGTGCAACGATATATTTTTCAAAGTTGTTGTCAATTCCTAAAATTTGTTTATAGTAAAACGGCCTGCTCAGCACTCACTACTCACGATGATTTCATTTAGAAATGCAGTTACCAGAAAAGGAACTGATTCTAAAATATGTAAATTTAAAAGCATTGGCTAACAGAATAAAGCGATGTGAAGACAAGGTACAAACTTTTATAGTTGCTATTTGTTATAAAATCCTATAAATAAACCGATTCAACAATAATATTGCCTCG